ATCTTAAAATACTATAAAAGACACTAAGGTACTTTTTAATGACCTAGAGTATACATCTCTAATTACCATTGGACATATTAATATGACTGCATTAGTAGCTAGATTTGATTAAAGTCGTTGTTATGGAGTAAAATAATTAATTTATTTAGTCTTATAAGTAAGCTTTCTTTTCTATATTTTTTTTAATAATATTTTGCAAACCATTATATACATTAAAAATCATCAAAGTTATCTCGTGTTCAATGATGTGATTTTGGGACAAGACTACAATTCAACGCCACATTACTCGAAAGTTTTTTTTATAAGTGTATAAGTATTATATATTTTTTAAATTCTTATAATCTCCTTATAACGGTTCTTAAATAATATTTTATATAATTAATAAATAAATTACAATTAACCAACATAGTTTAAGATTGTATAATTTTCGGGTACCTTTTTTGTAACGAGACCTAACTTTGAACCGCTGTATAGCGCTGTCGTGATATTTATTGTATTACGATCTTTATACATTAGTTTATACAGAGAAAAAAAAATGCGTCTACTTGCGCCTATTTGATACGGTACCAAAAGATATTTACATATATTTATTTTAATTTTTTTGATAAATTAATAAACATAATTTTCAATGACGGAGACGGAAATGTTTTAATAGGACATGTAAAAACATTGTCGCCCAAAAGACAGATTGTCAGGAAAAGATTCTAAGTTGATGTAGTTTTACTGAAAGTGTGATAAAACAAAATGTTACTTACTCTGTTTGACGTAAAATCTAAAAACTACCAAATCAGAAACTATAACTTCTGTCCTTAAGAAATATAATATTACTTAGCTTTCCGCCTGCAGCTTCGCCCGCGTGGAGTTCGGTTATATCGGGTTTCTAAAGAACCTATCAAAACTGTGGGATAAAAACTATCCTATGTTCTTTCTCAAGGTCAACTCTATCTCTGTTATACTAAATTTCATTAAAATCAGTTCAGTGGTTTAGACGTGAAAGCTTAACAGACAGACAGAGTTATTTTCGCATTTATAGTATTAGTAGGGATTGACTGTGTCAGAGAATATTTAAACTTATTGTTTCGTGATCTCGGATTTTAATTTCAAATTTGACAATCTACAAAAATACAATCCTTATCGGACAACCAAATATAAGATCGTGAAGGTAGAGGTACCAAATACTCTGAAACAGTATCCTACAGAAGAACAATTAATCTCACAAAGTTTCAAAATGTTGACATTCGAAAGAGAACGTGGCCTGCTATCCTTTATAGTTATGGGCCACATTCGTTCATCGTCCGTCGTGGAGGTCAAATTAGAAGTGTAGACGGATAACTTTTGACATTCAAATCGAAATTTCAAACTAACGCAATACAAAGCTTTTTCAGCGGATGTTAAACTTAAATGTTCTACGATCATATATAGTAAACTCCATGTTTTGTAATTGGTCTACATTGTACACACGTACTGAAAGTGTTTAAATGTATTAAAAAATCGAAAAGTAATTGGGTTTTATGTATGACAGAAAAAAAAGTAAATCAAATTTTATATCCTTATTTATTTGTTACAATTAATTAAGTCACATATATACATATATCAGATGAACGAGTTCATTTGCTGTCCGCTTCCGAATCCGTTTCCATATCGGCTGCCACCGTTCGCGAACTGGTTAAAGCCTGTTCCAGACAGGGCGCCTGTGTCGAACACTTGGCCTCCGCCGATGTTGTGGTTGTCTGTATTCTCAGCTTGGGTGATCTGTTAATAAGATGAACAGTTGTTTAACATAATCCTAGTCTGGGAATTCATTGAGACAAAAGAATAGTATTCTATAGTTTAAACTTACGGAACTGAGGCTGCTGTGATGCTGGCCTATATCATGGTAGTTCCCCATTCCTCCGGTGTGCATGTTCTGGTTCGCTAAACCGCCGGCACCGGAATTGAATTGGCTGCCTCCATAACCGCCGCCTTGTGAATATCCCAACCCGCTTGTTCCTATTCCGCCCAGTCCGCCCAGTCCACCCATACCCAACCCGAGTCCACCCATACCCATTCCGAGCATACCGTTCCCATAACCACTTCCCAGACCAGCCATTCCCAGTCCGTTGAGTCCTAAGTAGGGTTGCGGCTTAGCTTCAAGTACCGCAACACAGGCGAGGACGGTTATCACCTGAAATAATGCAGTACTTATTAGAGTTTACGTTTATTTACGCATGAAGAAGAAATTGAGTTAATTGATCATGATAGTTTATTACGATCAATCTTTAAATACTTACAATACACTTCATGTTGTTAATATGGTTCTCAGGTAGTAGTGGTATGTTCAAGGACTGATATTACAATGATGTGACAACGATAAACAGTAGTTTATATATTGAATAAAAATTAAAGCATTTATAAATGTATTAACGAATTATAAGAAATGTATGTAGCATTTAAAAAAGATAATTGGAATTATTGCAACGTCTGCTCATTAGAAAAAACCAAAGGGTTTTTCCATAATTTTTGGAAGGCTAATTTCCACGGGTGTATTATTATAGTTAATAATTATTAGGAAGAAATAGTTTTTAAGTTACTGTCCCTGAGGTAGTTGATATATAAGTGCACTTTTCTTTTAAAAAACTTATTATTTTATCTGAGAAAGATTTTATAAAGTTGCCTTTCGAAATAATTATTTCAAGTATGTAATCATGATCATTTTTTAGAATTATTATTACCAACAAGAAGACTTTCATATATCGAAAATTGTGAATACTTGTATATCGAGAATACCTCACTCAATGCGATGGAGATCTTTTGTAGCCTTTCGGAAACTCCTCGCAATTACTAAAAATCTCCGTTCATTAGTAAAAACTTGCAACTAGATTTATGTCACTGATTTATTAATTGATTTGTTACGACATCCTTAAATAAAAGTTTTTTGTGTCAAGATGGGTCGCAGACCTTTCCTACGTTTTATTCACAAAATTATACACATAAAATCATTTTGCGTGCTTTCATATTATAATTATGATATTGTATTGTTGAAAATTTTTTATAAAGTTAATTAGGCTCTATATTAAGAAGATAGGTTAGTGTTAAAAAAATGGGATAAAATTCATATATTATTTATAAATATAATTTTATATATGAACCTTAGATCCACTCGTATACTCTCAATGCAATATATTATTAATTTAAATTATGTTATTAAAACAAAAAAACTAATTTTATTGTTGATAGTACAGTAAATGGTGATGCGAAAGTCAAAGGGATGTGGTTATTCTTTTATAAAGGGCTACATTTATATAGTGCTTAGGAAAAGTTTAAGACTTATTAAAAGAGGGATATGTTATGTATAATACTGTTCAAGAGATTTAATGTTTAACCCACGACGCGAAAAAAGGTGTTATCATTTTGTCTGTTTGTTTGTTCGTTTTTATACTTGTTGCATGTGTAAGGTATTACTATACAGGGTGACTGGTGAATTACTATCAATATTTAAGGAGCATACTCGGTACATGATTCTCATTCGAATTATGTAAAAAAAATAGGCACTTAATTTTTGACAAAATTTCCGTATAAATAAGTAAAGTGTTGACACGTTCCAAGTGTTCAAGTGTGGACGCGTGCGGCGACGTGTTGATACAACACCACGTCACGACATGCGTATGTGTGAGTGTCAGTGTATACCTAATCTGTAGGGTGTTCATACGATGCGTAATTAATTACATAACTTTTGGTTAACTTTACTTAGAAGTTTATTAATATTTATGTTATATTAGTTTTTATTTTGTCATATATGATCGTCAAATATCACGTCCTCAAATATCGATAGTAATTCACCAGTCACCCTGTATAAAATGCCTGACTTAAATGAAATTACATGTGCAAGGGTTTTTTGTTATTGAATATTTAGTTTATATTTAAATACTCATTTAATTACCGTTCATGAGTTTAAACAGATTATATCAAAATATTTTACCTTGCACTCGAAGTATAAGCGATTAATTTCTCAATTGTATATTTGGAAATTGAAGTCAAATATTCTTGTAAAATTTTCTACACGTCCTCTTGAAAAGAGGGACAACTGATCTCATATCTGTTAAGCTTTTCTCGCAACAGTTCAATTTAATTGAGATGAGAGATGAAGAAGACCCAAACCAATTCATTTATAAATCTTCCTGATTCTTACTTTCTAATAAATCTGTATAATTTTAAACTGGACCTCATTTTTATTTAGTAATCGTTTGTGCATCTCTTCATGTTTCCTTCTATTCGTACCGAATCTCTAGTTCTATGGTCAAAGAAGCATACCGAGACTCATATTATATCAGCAGTAACCCGCTCTAGCTTTTCTTAATTGTCACACATATTGTGTTGTCTATTTGAGTATCTTTAATGTAAAGATACTCAAAACTGTTAAGTTTACGTTGTTTATTCCAATAGAGAGGGCCATTAACTAAAAGGTTTATGAGGGTAATCATATCTTAGTTATAACCTATCTAGTCAGCCAGGAGTGTATACAAGGCAGTAGATATCGAATATTTTAGAGGATACTCTTTAGCGAGTGCGAGCAATTACTCTATCCCCTTGTTCAGATGTACGTTGAGTTTCCATGATCTTGCATCAGTGTTTATTTCTGATTGTAATTTGGGTGTCTTTAAGCCAAGAGCACAAAAAACACCTCTCAGATGTATTTGATACAAAAAGAAATACAAATAAATTCAAAAGGAAAGTTCCACCTTTCAATTAAAATAAAAACAGGACGAAGAAGCTTGAATCCATTTTATTTTATATAAATACATTAACAGGCTTAATTCTCATGAACAACAAATAGTATATATAGAAATAAAATCATTAATTAAAAGAAATACATATTAAATTCAATAAAAATATAATTTTTTGCTGTTTCATTCTATGTGATCTTTATGAAAGAAAAATGTATGAAATAACTGCTATAAAATTAAATGATATTATTGATTCTTAGTTTTTAAATTTGAACTGAAGTATTAAATAAGCGAGATTTAATTTAAACAAGTTATTTCCTGAACGCTTCCGCATCCGTTGCTGAGTTGATTGAGGCCGTTGCTCAATTGATTAGGGCCGTTGCTAAAGTGATTGAGATTGTCGCCAACTTGGTTGAGACCGGTGCTGACTTGATTGGGGCCGTTGCTGAACTGATTGAGACCGTTGCCTACTTGGTTGAGACCGGTGTTGAATTGATTTTGGCAGTTGTTTAATTGATTGGGCCCGTTGCTGAACTGATTGAGACCGTTGCTTACTTGGTTGAGACCGGTGTTGAATTGATTTTGGCAGTTGTTTAATTGATTAGGGCCGTTGCTAAACTGATTGAGACCGTTACTGACTTGGTTGAGACCGGTGTTGAATTGATTTGGGCCGTTGCTCAATTTATTGGGTCTGTTGCTGAAGTGATTGAGACCGTTGCCAATTTGGTTGAAACTGGTGCCGACTTGGTTGAGACCGTTGCCGAATTGGTTGAAACCAGTAGCGGATTGGGCTCCAGTGTTAAAGAATTCACTGCCGCCGACGTCATGATTTTCTATGTTCTCAGCGTGATTAATCTAAAAGAGAATAATTTTAAAGATTATATTTTTATTACAAGATCGCTTTATCCATTTTATTATATTTTTTTTACTTACCGAGGTAAGGCTGTTTTGTTGTTGACCAACATTATGAAAGTTTGTACCCCCGGTGCTGTAGGAAACCTGACTGCCTAAACCACTGTTTCCAAAACTGTATAAGTTATTGCCAAAGCCGCCACTTTGAGCAAGTCCAGGACATAATCCTAGGATAATCAATCCCATTGGCCTGACGACTGGCCGGGCTTGGAAACTGCCACCACATCCATATGGAATATATGGACTATATACTCCCGTTCCAACACCAACGTTTCCGAGACTAATAACGCTGTTTCCGTAGCCACTTCTTAAGCCTCTTATTCCAAATTTTCTAAAACCAAAGAAGGGCTTCGCGTCCAGCACTGCAGCTAAAGCGAGGATGGTCAAAGTCTAAAAAGAAAATAGATTTTAGAATTACTAACTTATGTTTTTGACTGCTGTTAATCCTGAGAGTTAGAAGGGGTTATTTTAATGACTCAATGTCCACTTTAGTACTGAGAATGTCCTATACGTGCAAAAAATTACATTATAATAGCATGTTGCAGCTATACGTTTTGCTTTTGTAAATTTTAATTCATAAATGACAACTATAATGATATTTAAAAATAAACACTAGGACGAACAAATTGTTTATGAACTACCAAGTATTTTATTTAATAGAATGTTTATTAAATATACTCACAATGGTCTTCATTTTGAACATCAAGTTGTCGATGTTGTTGATTCATAAGGTATTTCGATGTAATAATTATATCACCATCATTCCCCTTATATAATACGTCTAATTAAAGCCAGACAAATACTATTTAATAACATTTAATTAATTCGCAGTATACAGGTGATTTGTTAATACTTTGCTCTTTAGCAATTGTTTTGTAATTGTCATATTACTCAATTAGTTAAACTGTAGATAATAAAACGATTTTTTCAGACGTGGTAATCTACATATACTTATTAAATTATTATGAGATGCCTAAAAGTATTGAGATTTACTCGTATTAAAATATTCGCATAATTTAAAGCAATATCCGAAAACCACAATAATCGAATAAGGTATATATTTTGTCTCTTTCCAACCTTCTTTCTAAAGCCATAATAGTGAGTATTTTCGTTAATATTAAATAAAATAAGTGAATTAATCATTCAGGTAAAGAGTTTGGATTTCATGGATGCATGATGTATTACATGATTGTTACGCTATCATGGTTTAAGAATAATACATTACGCTCTAGAAATTTAATCGTTTTTCTAATATTAAAGTCTTAAACTTATTTTTGTTGTGATAGAACTCAAAACTTAAAAAAGGAAGCTTCAGTTTGTCACAAACTTATTTCCTTTTGATTTTGTTTAATACCAGTATTTCTTCATATCCATATTAAAGTAAAATTTACTTAACTAGGTCAAGGAGACACAGAAAAATGTTTATAAGACATAGTTTTTGAATAGTGCGAAGGTTAAATTTATCATCAGATATATTAAAACCTACAGAACTTCTTCTTCTTCTACCTGGTAATTTTCCCAGCTTTAGCCAGGGTCTGCCTTACATGCTGTAAATAGTTTTTGCTAATTGTTTAAGCGACCGACCGCCTGCCTGACATCAACCCTCTTTGGGAATGCATTAGTCAGTGATGTCTTAATACTCTTAGAAAGTACATATGACTCTGAAAAATCACTTTGATACCAGGATCGAACCCACGCCCTCGTGCATGAGAGGCGGGCCTTTTAACTACTAGGCCACCACTGACTTTAAAACTAAAACCTACAGAACTATCGTCTTATAATTTTAATTAAATGGTTCTACTCCTCCTATTAAAGTTATAAAGGCGATTTGATGTTAAAATTTAGTCCAATAGCTATTAGGTATTGTAACTTTTGCGTTTGACACATTTGAAATATACTATGAATAGGACAAATTTTTGTTTAAAACTCTCAAATAACGAACTTTGACAGTTTAAAATTAATATTTGTAAACTTTTAATTGGATTGTAACTATCAATTCTGTTTGTATATTATTAAACAATGGCCGATTTTGCTGATAATTAAGAAAAACTTTCTGTTGAAATTGTAATTATTTTTAACATTTTTTTGTAGTCTACGTCACTTTTGCTGTACAAATTTAATAGTATTAAAAAGGGCTTCTTTTTTAGTAGGTATATGTTTTGGGAAATTAAAGTAAAAATATTACCTTATCTTTCTTTTCCATATATTTAAATAAATACAATCTCAATAAATATTTTTTAAATTATCACGAACAGGTATTTTAGAGGAATGACGTCATTTGCCGTCCGCTTCGTCCGATATACATATACTAAGTATACATCCGTCCAATCTATACCTATTCGTTAATATTTTTAATACGTACAATGGAATTCCTTACTATTTAGTGCGTTCGATAAAGTTACCATAGATAGAATGACGTCACATGAACGAAATTTGTCATTTATTCTTAATGAAGTAAAAAGCAATTAGCGGGGATTTTAATTCATTTTAATTAAGTCACGGATATAGATAATTTTATTACTTGATTGATAAAGAATTACGTAGGTATTATTAAATTATTTTACCATTAGTTAGGTTCTTTTTCTGAAATGATTCTTAATGTATTTTATAATGTTTTGAGGAATATTTTTATATTTATATATCTCATTGAAGTATATATTCATATAATTGTTCCTACCCCTTTAATATTACAAACATGTACGATTTTTTAAATTGTTTTTTAACATAACTTTCTTTAGGAAGATTATGTTTATTAATCACGATAAAAATTATAACTAGGATATAAATCAATTAATTTTTTTTAACTTATGTATCTTAAATACTTCTTACATATTTTCCGATAAAAATGCTAGCGTTTCTATTAATTATTATTATAAGAATTAAATTAACAAATTCGTTCTCATCCGGAAAATTAATTTGTTTTTATATGTATCAATATCTTTTTTATTTTCAACTGTAAACCTTTAAAATAATAGTTTTCTATTAATATTGATAAATAAAGTTATATTTTTAGCTTCAATTTATATCGTAAATGTGTTAAAGAATTTAATTTGATTTGAATTCAATGAATATTAGTACGTGTTAAATAATATTCAGGTTTTCGGTGAACGATTCAATTCGTGCGAAACCAACCGACGGACAATGGCCCTTCAAATGCGCCTGGAATTTATTATATTTGCGCAAAACCTACATACATACATATATATTGGAATAGGCTGTGCAATTCCGATGGAAAAAATGTTTTGTACGCTTGAATTCTCTTCAATTCTTTCTATATTTATTATTTCTATAGTATTAAATTATTTTCATTTTTTGTTTTAAACGAAAAATACATATTTTTAATTAGAAATCAATAATATTTTAAGTTATAAATAACGGATGATAAATTGAATCTTATATTAATATCTATGGTTACTAAAATAAACAAGCAAATATATATGCAAATTGACAAAAATTACTAGAATTTGTAGGTCAACATTTTTAGGTCGTTCTTGCATAATATTATGGAAGGTGTAAGTATTTTTAGAAAGATGTATTTATAATGAGATATCTTAATCTTTGTAAGCCAGGCTTTAAGTCTGTTAATCAGTTTGAAAGCCGCCTTAATCCGGATTTATATAAGGAACTGAAATTTTAAATTCACTCTGCAGTACCTTGTCAGAATCGCATCGCCCTCGTTAGAAATCTGGCGCGACAATTTCTTAATGAATTCGATTAACAAAATTTGATTAACAATAATTATATTTTTGGATTTATAAAGGGTGTATAAAAAGAACAGAATGTTTTATTGTATTTATTTAATTAGTTATTATATACTCTACTGTTTAATATCAGAGATATCACTTAGCCGTTATTAGAATTGACTATGTGTTAAACATTAAATCCAATATTCGATCCCCTTCCATATCCCACTCCAGTGCCTGAACCGGAACCGTAACCATAGTCCCTGCCAGGTCCGTAGCCATTGCCAGAACCATAACCTCTTCCGTAACCTAAGCCTGTGCCGGATCCGTAGCCAAGCCCTGAACCAGAACCATAGCCCAGCCCTGAGCCAGAACCGTAGCCTAGCCCTGAACCAGAACCATAGCCTAGCCCTGAGCCAGAACCATAGCCTAGCCCTGAGCCAGAACCATAGCCTAGCCCTGAGCCGGAACCATAGCCTAGCCCTGAACCAGATCCATATCCAGAACCAGAACCGTAGCCCAATCCACTACCGGGTCCGTAACCCGGTCGTGTGTAGGGATTGTATGCTTGCACATTTATATAAGCCAAACAAAGCACAACAAATAACGCCTGAAACAAAAAGAAATGTTACCATTTATCCGTATAGAGATATCCCAAATGAATAGTACGAATACCGATCACAAAATAATACAATTTGTTAAAAATTTCTCACAAAAAAGAATTGATAAAATTCAAATAAAAATTTTATATGTATCACTTACAATATATTTCATGTTGATAATGTCAAGTTTAATTAATGAATGATAAATTTCATAACTTTTTTCTCTTAAATAGATTTGTTAATTAACATTTTTTTTACTCGTTTATTTAATTCTTAATGTCATTTCGTGACGTAGTCGACTTCGCTGATATAATTTTTAGAAGATTCAACCAAGGAAGAAGCCTCATTTTCTGGCCGTATTTAAAAATATATGAAGAAACTAAAAACTCTTCTTAACAAATAAAATAAATAAAAAGTAGTACATACAATTTTTATATTATTTTATTATATTCTAAGAAAGTGATAAAAGAAATTTATAATTTGGATTAATTAATAATGGTTTAAGACTAGTAAAATTAAATCTTTTGTACTATAACTTAAAGCATTGATTCAGTTTTATACTTCCATGTTTTATTATTTACATAATAATTAGAAAAATGACAGTTGCATAACCATCAACTTGCTGTAACTTTGTTAAGTGGGCCAGTAACCAAAGAATAGAATAGAATATAGAATGACGCATTTTCCGTGTATAAATTATAAAATATTCAGAAAGTAGTTCGGGGAGTCAGTGTAATGTAGTCCTAAAAAATTTTACGACGGCATGACAAGTTCAATATCTTATAGAATTTTCCATCAATCAAATTAGCTGCCGTGTTTTCCCTAATGGTATTTTTATTTATTAAACTATTAAGCGTTGATTAATATTTAAACAATTTCTTGCTAACTCTTCGTCAGTCCAACGTTAGACACGAGAACTTCATCATGAAAACTATTGTGAGTATAAATAGATAATAAGAATTTAAATTATATGGAACTAAAATATACGATTTAAAATGAAATACAGAAAATTATAAATATAATAAAGTTAATTTTTTTATCAATTTAAAAAAAAAATGATTTTAAAAATATGTAATGTTTTTATTTGATCAAAATGTTTAATATAAATACTTTTTAGGTAATCTTTGTCTTCCTCTTCATGGCGTGTGTCAATGCTAAACCATATATGGGATACGGCATAGGGAGTGGTGTGGGTATGGGCTATGGAAGCGGTTTAGGCTATGGAGGCGGTTTGGGCTATGGCAGCGGGATGGGATACGGCAGCGGAATGGGATACGGTAGCGGATTGGGATACGGCAGCGGGCTAGGTTACGGTATCGGGTCCGGAATAGGATACGGCGATGGATTCCTTTCAAATATGTGGATATAATACCGTTTAATATATTACGAAATTATAATTTACCAATGTTCATTATTTTAATTAATAAAATAATGTATAAAGTCTACAATTACATATGTATATTTTATTATCAAATACAATGTTATTCCACTGCTCCCAATATAGTTAAAACTGTAAAGAAAATCCCAAATAAGCATTAACAGATATTTAACAACAATAAACATAACTATCAAGGTTTTCCTTAGAAATGACCAAAGCAATAGTATTTAAATTAAATATTTTAATGTTTTGTACTGTCACAAAAATATTTCCTTTTTTCATTACTAAATTGCTACAAACATTTCAAAAAATATTCAACAAAAATAGTTCTATTGCAAAATAAAGAATTTATTTTTTCTATTTTAAATGTATATATTTTTATTATATGATAACATATGTCACTTAAAAGTATTTTTAATATTTCTTTCTATGAGATGTACATAGCTAAACTAGAATGAAATTACGAAATACTAATAATAATGACAATTTTCATATCACGGTTACAATATACTATTGTAAAGAGAGTCATATTTGAGTAGTTAAATAAAGAAAATTGGAAATATATAATAAAACTAGGTGCTATCCGCGAGTCTCTCCGCTTGAATATCAGAGAGAAATCTATCAAGTGTTTAAAAACAATAAATTTAGTAACATATTGCAGCCTATTGATTTTGAATCGCCTATATACATATATGTATATACTGCAGCGCCATTGGCTAGGCTAATTTGTGAATTAAAACTATTTGGGATCATTCAAATCGGTCCAGCCATAAAGAAGAAGTTCAGTGAATTACAATGTCCAGTATAAAAAAAAATTATTAACTTGAGCAGGATAATAATATTTTTATATCAAGTTCTACTTGCTTTACCAGTACATGGGTCAATATTACTATTATGTTAAAATAAACAAAATTATACTTTTTGGACTACTATCTAATTTGTAGCACAACAACTCTAAAAATGAGGATATTTAAAACAATGCCAAAAGTATGTAAAAAGTATGTTTATTAAAAAAATTATAGACGGAATCTTAGATATTTCCCTAGTACTTATGTCCCTAGTACTTTTTTAAATTAACTTGGTGTTTGTTTACTTTATATAACTTCTACCTCATATTTTGGACGTTGTCGCTAGCAGAATATTTTTTTGATAATACTATTATATTAATATATTCTCATTAAGGGAAATTAGGTATTGCAGGAAATTATTTTCCCAAACAAAGTCTAGTTGATTATTACATTTTTTTTTATTACGAAACAAGTTTTATTGTTTAGATGGCTGTTTGTACTTGTTGTGCAGCATTTGCTACGTCCTGAGCATAATTGCTGGCACCGTTTCCGTATTTGTTGAATTCACCAGATTTATGTGCGCCTTGATCGTAGGCCTGGTGACCACCGACGTCGTGCTCGTCACTGTTCTCAGCTTTTTCAACCTAATCAATCAAGTGTGAAAAAATTTATTTTAAAATTGTTCCCTTTGCACTTAAAATCAAACGAATTAAATAAAACAAAAATTTCATGAATAACATACCTTTGTGACGCTGCTGTGGTGGTGTCCTCGGTCGTGGAATTCCTTTTCCCCTTTGTTGCGGTATCCTTGACTGTCAGCACCACTAGCGCCTCTGTTGTACTGATTTGCCCCGGAGCTTGACGCTCTTTCAGAATTTCTGGCGGCTTCTTGACCTCCTCCTAGACCAACCATTCCTAAGCCAGTGCTGCCAATTCTTCTACCGATGCCATTAGCAATATTTGCACCCTGTCCTATTGCTCTGGCACCCGCTCCAAATGCCCCTGCACCAGCTTCAATGGCCCCTGTTCCCAATGATAACGCTCCGGCTCCGAGATCTGCTGCAGCTTCCATACCTAAGTCAGCTGCATTACCAAGAGATGACCCTATCCGTGACCCCACGTCGGTTCCGACTCTCGCAAGTTCTCCCAAACCTTCTAAACCGAATAACGGTTGACCCCTTATTACGACTGCTAAACAAGCGACCACTAGGAGCTGGAAAAAAATGAATGTAATGGTTAAAATTTTGACGAAAGTAGAGTACATATTAAAAGAAAATAAATAAAAATAATGCTTACAATGCACTTCATGTTGGCTAATTGTTTTGTCTTTGGAGCGATTGTAACAGTACAACAACTGAATCTGGAATAATTCACTATATCCAAATCGACGCTTATATAGTCAGGTGTTATAACACAAATGTATTACAATATTAGTTAATTTGCTGTTCTAATGAGATACACAATTATTGCTAATTAAGTAATTGTAGTCCTTAATATACTTACACTAAGGGAGTCATGGTAATTATTAATTATTAATCCAGTATATTACGTGTTTTAAATTTTTCTAGATACCATTAAATTCATCTATCTACATAAGTATATTTGAAGATTGAAAAGGATTGTATAAATTCATTCATGTATTTTTAATTTAAAAAATCTGGAGAAATTGTATCGAAACTTGATAATAATTTAAGACATCTTTATAACAATCTTCATTAAAAACTTTTAAATACATTTTGCATACTAGAAATACTCTTAGTTATTTGAGACTTGTCTGTCAGTTGGTCAAATAGCTCGCATAACGTCATTGTTCTTTATGAAGATCGAATAATCTGAGGTAACCTCATGGAAATGTTCAAAATCATGGACTGTTTGATAATAATCCAATGTCGACCTAAAGAATGAATTATAATACTGACTCTGGTGGGAATAATGTGTTTGAAATGAAGTGTCTACAAGTTTTTATTAAATATCTTTAGTTAGGAATTTACTAATCCCCTTAAAATTTCTGGTATTGTTACAATTTCGACTACTTTGATTGATCCAAATAAGGTGGATGCGTAGTGATCTGCTAAAAAGATAACGTTAACATAGATTTCTATATACATAGCTTAATTTCATACAGACAGTCTAAGATACGCCGCCTAAATTAAGGTTTCCATGCACTTACATGTGGTGCTAGAAGCTTGTTCAACTTGTAGGTCATTTGAAAACTATTATAGAAAACAAAATGATTAAATAAAGCAGTCTACAATTATTATGACCATTTTTACATGAACTGCTGTAAGTAGTTTCAAATATACAAGCTTTTCACATATTTTTGTTGGTGACCTCTTCATGATTTTCTTTGTCCCAATACTATGATCGAGTACTTATGAGTGAATAGAAAATGTGTTCTTAGAAATCACATTATTGAAAAGCGTTTTCTTTATTATTTAAAATTATTTTTAACAAATTTGTCAGAGCCAAAATTTTTGTTAGTTTCTTTTGTTGATTCTGTTATGAATATACATATCAAAGTTATTTTTAAGACCGGTACTGTTGTTTTTGAAATAAACTTTCGAGACAATATTTTAGTATGTTATATATGTACTGTTATTCGAGAAGTAACTACTCATAAATGTTGCAATTTTGAATAATTTTCTAGGGGGATCCAACATTTTTATGAAATAAGTGATATGTCTAATAAGCCTGCAAAGATTGGACAATATTTTTCAAAGATTCCCTTGATAAACAAAAATACATTGAAACGTTTTAAATTCAACTGGTCACCTGACATAAAAATGTATGAAAAAAAGAGAAAAGAAGATATATTGTGGTCGTAAACTTTGTTTAGCTGTTGTAAAAGAATATTTGGGTTTAAACATTTATTTTAGTCCTTATAGACTAAAGGATTACAAAAAGAACATATTATGTCCATTATAATAGCAATGATCGAGAGAAAAAACATTTTTTAAGCTTAATTTTAAATATTTGAAAGGATTTAAAATTGGTACAAGTTTGAAATCACCAACCCGTCTTGAGCAAGCGTGGTGATTAATGCTCAAACCTTCTCCATGTGAGAAAGAGGCCTTTGCTCAGCAGTGGGCTCTGATAGGCTGATGATGATGATGATGAAAATGGGTGTTATCATGAAGTAAACTATTATTTAACTGTGATTTCTCAAATTCAATTCTTTTAATTTCATATTTATTTATCGTATTATGTGATTTTGTTGCATCATTAATTTGTGTATTATTATCTTTTTGTATATATTATTTAATGAATATGCAGATTGTAAATTCGGCATAATAATATTAAGTTCCATCATAGACCCCAGCACACCCATTTAAAAGGGTAATATTCTTAACATGTAGTTAAATTATGACGATGGCAAGAAAATACTGGCCTTAATAATATATATCCTGTGTTATTTTTTTAGATAAAATTTGTATTAGTATTTGGCAAATTTTGTTACACTGATGTCAAAACCATCCATATTTTCTTTTCACTTTGCCAAAAATGGTCTTATACTTGAATTCTTACTGTAGCAATTATGTATCCAGTAGAAAATTTTTGAGTTAATATTTCAAATTATAATACACAGATAATGCAAAACAATTTATTAAAAATCAAATGTTATTATTTAAATGCCTGTTTCCACTGCCCGTTGAGCAGCGTTTGCCACGTCATTAGCGGCCTTGCTAGCACCGCTTTCATATTTATTGGATTCACCAGATTTATGTGCACCCTCGTCGTAAGCCTGGTGACCACCAACATCGTGATCCTCACTGCTCACAGCCTGTTCAACCTTTATTAAAATATTCCAATTTAAATTTTCTCTTATTTTACACACACTTATAACTGAATTCTATATATAAGATTTTTAAACCATATGATTTATGTCAATAACGTACCTTGTTTACGCTGCTGTGGTGATGTCCGCGGTCGTGGAATTCCTTTTCACCTTTGTTTCGGTATCCTTGACTGTCAGCACCACTAGCGCCTCTGTTGTACTGATTTGCCCCGGAGCTTGACGCTCTTTCAGAATTTCTGGCGGCTTGTTGACCTCCTCCTAGACCAACCATTCCTAAGCCAGTGCTGCCAATTCTTCTACCGATGCCATTAGCTATATTCGCACCCTGTCCTATTGCTCTTGCACCCGCTCCAAATGCCCCTGCACCAGCTTCAATGGCCCCTGTTCCCAATGATAACGCTCCGGCTCCGAGATCTGCTGCAGCTTCCATACCTAAGTCAGCTGCATTACCAAGAGAAGACCCTATCCGTGACCCCACGTCGGTTCCGACTCTTGCAAGTTCTCCCAAACCTTCTAAACCGAATAACGGTTGACTCCTAACTACGACTGCTAAACAAGCTACCGCCAAGATCTAGAAAAAAATAATGTAATTGTTAACATTTGTATAAAAATAAAGTATATCTGATAAGAAAATATATAAATGAAATACTTACAATGGACTTCATGGTGGAAAATTGTTCGGTCTATAGATTTGTTATAACGGTCCGACGATAGGACCTGGAATGATTTGATACAACCAAACCTACGCTTATATAGTCCGATTTTATGAGACAAATGTATTTCTATATTAGTTAAGTTAATGTTCTAATGAGCTTCTCAATTATTGCTAATTAAGGCAATGTTGTACCTGTAATGTAAGTATTGTCTTGTCTTACATGTACTGTTAGAGGATCGTTAGTGTTTCTAACTTTGACATAAACAACAAAATAAATAAAATAATTGGTAACCTGGTAAAGAATAAACGGAATACAAATTATTAGAAAGAAAAGTTTCGTATGTTTGTTGGAATAGGCATCATTTAAATTAGTCTTCATGTGCTACGATGACACTATGGTGCTTATGTTTCTATATAGTGAGTTAGTTAGAAAATACAATTTTGTCGACAGATTCTTTCGACTCCTTTGTAAAATATATTATGAATACTTCTATATACTACTCACGATCTTCTTATCTTTTTAATAATTGTATAAGATAGAAAATAATGCTTAAGGCTTTACCGTTATTCATTGTTCAAAACACTGAGCAGTTATTAATTTTTGAGCACTTTTTAAGGACTTTTGGTATGCCACTAAATATTTAGAGATAAATGTTCTCTTTATGTTGACCTTCTTAATTATCTACCATCGAATGACAGTAATTTGTACTATCTGATGATCGATTTTACGGATATCTTGGACAAAGAAAGATTAGAGACATTTTTATTGATACTTAGATTTATTTAATTCAACCGCCCAAATGGTGGTATGTAAGGAGTTGTTTTTTGAGTGATATTGTATTTACTTTTCAATAACAATATAGTATTTTGAATAAAATCAATTTTTTTCTCTGTCTGCTTTATGGTTACTATTATATGATGGGTGATGATAATTAGAAATCCTTGGAGGTTATTTAGAATATATGTTAATTCCAGTATACAATGTAAAAAACGAAATTTTGCATGACATATGTAGTGTACTTTAAGTGATATCTGATCTTCTAGTATTCTAATATCAAAATTGACTTGTTTCTTTCTTATTATTTTTTAAATTACTACGTGTTAATGCTTAATATTTTATAAGGTTCTTTAGTAACTTAACAAAATTTTCAGTTCGTTATGATGGTACAATTTGTAAGCGGATTTATTTAATGCTTACTTATAATATTATACATGGGAAAATAACTTTTTTGCCCTTTTCAGCCAAAACTAATGGGTATGGGGTGTAAATAGAACTTATGACATATTTAGTTTTAACCCGAAGTATGAGTACTTTTTAATTCGTAGACAGAAAAAGGGGGTGAAGGGCTGTAAGAAATGGTCATTATTATTAAAAGTAGAAGCTTGGAAATTTTCACGCTGTTATTAAATAAAACCATAATCGATATAAATAAATTTGAAATTCAAGGCTTGTTATTTTTTATTCCCTTAGATATGTAAAATAAAAATAGACGATTCGCGATAAAGTTCTTTTTAAAATAAGTATTATTTTTCTGACTGTTAAAAAACATTAAAGGTCTTGTTTATATACTTATATACATCTTATATACTATAAACAGAGTCGAAAATTTAAAAAGAAATCTACAATAAGCACTACAAGTTAGGTAAGCAAATATAATTACTCAAGTTTGCTTACTCGAACAGAACTTATAAAGTTAAAATAGATGGCAATGAAACTAGTAATATTTGACATACAACACAATAAGGCATACTCCGTACTTCCCTTCAATAGGCGAATTTATTGCTAGGATAAGCCACTATAATTCTGTTGCGTATAAATTCCCATGACATAGATGATCAACGCCTATTGCCGATTAACATATCTACTACTAACTTAATGGTTAAGTAAACAGGAAAAGTATATTTTTTTGTTAAGGTTTATCCAAAAAACATATGAATATTGCAAAACAATTTATTACAAAACTATATTTTTGGTTTAGATAGCACTCTCCACTTCCTGTTGTGCAGCTCTTGCCACGTCATTAGCGGCCTTGCTAGCACCGCTTCCATATTTATTGAATTCACCAGATTTCTGTGCACCCTCGTCGTAAGCCTGGTGACCACCAACATCGTGATCATCGCTGCTCTCAGCCTGTTCAACCTGTATCAAATAAAACAATTTAAATTTTCTCTTATTTTACAAATTCATATAAGTTTTAAACTACACTATAATTTTTTGAACTACACTAATCTTCATACTTATTGTAGACCATATAATTTATGTCAATAACATACCTTGCTTACGCTGCTGTGGTGGTGTCCTCGGTCGTGGAATTCCTTTTCCCCTTTGTTTCGGTATCCTTGACTGTCAGCACCACTAGCGCCTCTGTTGTACTGATTTGCTCCGGAGCTTGACGCTCTTTCAGAATTTCTGGCGGCTTGTTGACCTCCTCCTAGACCAACCATTCCTAAGCCAGTGCTGCCAATTCTTCTACCGATGCCATTAGCAATATTCGCACCCTGTCCTATTGCTCTTGCACCCGCTCCAAATGCCCCTGCACCAGCTTCAATGGCCCCTGTTCCCAAAGATAGGGCTCCAGCTCCGAGATCTGCTGCAGCTTCCATACCTAAGTCAGCTGCATTACCAAGAGAAGACCCTATCCGTGACCCCACGTCGGTTCCGACTCTTGCAAGGTCCCCCAAACCTTCTAAACCGAATAACGGTTGAGTCCTTACTACGACTGCTAAACAAGCTACCGCCAAGATCTAAAAAAAAATAATGTAATTGTTAACATTTGTATAAAAATAAAGTGTATCTGAAAAGAAAAAATATAAATGAAATACTTACAATGGACTTCATGGTGGAAAATTGTTCGGTCTATAGATTTGTTATAACGGTCCGATGATAGGACCTGGAATGATTTGATACAACCAAACCTACGCTTATATAGTCCGATTTTATGAGACAAATGTATTTCATTATTAGTTAAGTTAATGTTCTAATGAGCTTCTCAATTATTACTAATTAAGGCAATGTTGTACCTGTAATGTAAGTATTGTCTTGTCTTATATGTAATGTTAGGGGATCGTTAGCGTTTCTAACTTTGACATAAACAACAAAATAAATAAAATAATTGGTTACCTGGTAAAGAATAAACGGAATACAAATTATTAAGAAAGGCGAGTTTCGTATGATTATTGTAATAGGCATCATTTAAATTAGTCTCCATGTACCTTGATGACACGGTGGTTCTCATATTTCTATATAGTTAGTTGAAAATACAATTTTGTCCACAGATTCTTTAAACTCATTTGTAAAATATGAATACTTCTATATACTACTCACGATCTTCCTATTTTTTAATTATTGTATAAGATAGAAAATAATGCTTAAGGTTGTACCGTTATTAATTCTTCAAAACACTGAGCAGTTATTAATTTTTGAGCACTTTTTAAGGACTTTTGGTAGGCCACTAAATAATTTGAGATAAACGTTCTCTTTATGTTGAGCTTCTTAATTATCTACCATCGAATGACAGTAATTTGTACTATCTGATGATCGATTTTACAGATATCTTGGACAAAGAAAGATTAGAGACATTTTTATTGATACTTAGATTTATTTAATTCAACCGCCCAAATGGTGGTATATAAGGAGTTGTTTTTTGAGTGATATTGTATTTACTTCTACATAACAATATAGTATTTTTAAGGAAATCAATTTTTTTCTCTGTCTGTCTTATGGTTACTATTATTTGATGACTGATGATAATAAGAAATCCTTAGAGGATAATTTGAATATATGTATATTTTTAAACAACTTTATCCTTAATTCCAATATACAATGTAAAAAACGAAACTTTGCATGACATATGTAGTGTACTTGAAGTGATATCTGATCTTCTGGTTTTCTAATATCAAAATTGACTTGTTTCTTTCTCATTATTTTTTAAATTACTACGTGTTAATGCCTAAATATTTTATAAGGTTCTTTAGTTACTTAACAAAATTTTCAGTTCGTTATGATGGTACAATTTGTAAGCGGATTTATTTAATGCTTACTTATAATATTATAAATGGGAAAATAACTTTTTTGCCCTTTTCAGCCAAAACTAATGGGTCAATGTAAATGGAACTTATGACATTAAGTTTTAACCAGAGGTATGACTAATTTTTAATTCGTAGAAAGAAAAAGAGGGTGAAGGACTGTAAGACATGATCGTTGTTATTAAAAGTAGATGCTTGAAACTTTTCACACTGTTATTAAATAAAACAATAATCGATATAAATAAATTTGAAATTCAATGCTTGTAATTTTTTATTCCCTTAGATATGTAAAATAAAAATAGGCCTTTTTGAGATAAAGTTCTTTTAAAATAGGTATTATTTTTCTGACTGTAAAAAACATTAAAGGTCTTGTTTATATACTTATGTACATCTTATATACTATAAACAGAGTCGAAAATTTAAAAAGAAATCTACAATAAGCACTACAAGTTAGGTAAGCAAATATAATTACTCAAGTTTGCTTACTCGAACAGAACTTATAAAGTTAAAATAGATGGCAATGAAACTATAGTAATATTTGACATACAACACAATAACGCATACTCTGTATTTCCCTTCAATAGGCAAATTTATTGCTAGGATAAGCCACTATAATTCTATTGCTTATAAATTCCCATGACATAGATGATCAACGCCTTTTGCCGATTAACATATGTACTACTAACTTAATGGTTAAGTAAGCAGGAAAAGTAAATTTTTTTTGTTAAGGTTTATCCAAAAAACATATGAATATTGCAAAACAATTTATTATAAAACAAGATTTTTGGTTTAGATAGCACTCTCCACTTCTTGTTGTGCAGCTCTTGCCACGTCATTAGCGGCCTTGCTTGCACCGCTTCCATATTTATTGAATTCACCAGATTTCTGTGAACCCTCGTCGTAAGCCTGGTGACCACCAACATCGTGGTCATCACTGCTCACAGCTTGTTCAACCTGTATCAAAGTACTCCAATTTAAATATTCTCTTACTTTACATACACTTATAACTAAATTCTTTATTATTTAAAACCACACTCGAACTGATTATTATAGTCCATAGTAATTTATGTCAATAACATACCTTGTTTACGCTGCTGTGGTGGTGTCCCCGGTCATGGAATTCCTTGTCACCTTTGTTTCGGTATCCTTGACTGTCAGCACCACTAGCTCCTCTGTTGTACTGATTTGCACCGGAGCTTGACGCTCTTTCAGAATTTCTGGCGGCTTCTTGACCTCCTCCTAGACCAACCATTCCTAAGCCAGTGCTGCCAATTCTTCTACCGATGCCATTAGCTATATTCGCGCCCTGTCCTATTGCTCTTGCACCCGCTCCAAATGCCCCCGCACCAGCTTCAATGGCCCCTGTTCCCAATGATAGCGCTCCGGCTCCGAGATCTGCTGCAGCTTCCATACCTAAGTCAGCTGCATTACCAAGAGATGACCCTATCCGTGACCCCACGTCGGTTCCGACTCTCGCAAGTTCTCCCAAACCTTCTAAACCGAATAACGGCTGACTCCTAACTACGACTGCTAAACAAGCGACCGCCAAAAGCTGGAAAAAATAAATGTTATTGTTAACATTTGTATAAAGATAAATTACATCTGGTAAGGAAGTATGTAAATGAAATACTTACAATGGACTTCATGGTAACAAATATTACTATTCCTTATGGCGTATGAAAATATGTAGTTCAAAGACTGAACTTCGAATGATATAATAGACCCAAACAGTGTTTTATATAGTCCAATGATATAGGACAAATGTATTTCAATATTAGTTAATTGAAGGTTCAAATGAGTTGCTCAATTATAACTAATTTAATAAAATAAGTCCCTAAATATATTTCATAATAAAATATCTGTTGTTGTTAATTAATGAAGCTTATTATCTAATGTGTCAAGACAACAAAACAATTTTTTTTCAATACACTTGGAGTAAAAATATCTTAAACTCACTTTTTTCATATCAACTTCGACTAAAATATGTTTTTATTTACAAAATATTTATAAAAAACGTTTGAGCTATTCTTATGAATATTATCAATTATTAATCAATCAATCAATCAATTATCAATAATTCAAATTGGATGTATTTTGTCATAATTTTGCTTAGGTCATAGGTAAGGTCAGCCGCGGCAGGAAGTCTTTAAAAAGATTCCCCTCGTAAAAAAAAAAAGGTCATAGGTAATGAGACCCTGTAATATAATATAATCTAAATGCTTATTAAACATGTTAGGAAGCTATTAAAAGAATGTTTTTGATCGAATACCTATTTCGAATATTTCTGTATCTATAATGACTGTAACAGTGGATTCAACTTTTAATACTTTGCTAATAATTTCTACTTCTGTGTTTAATATATTTTGAAAAAGTGACTGAATAAACAATACACCTTTTATGATGCTAGGTTAAAAATCATTGTTATAAAATTATAAAAAAGATTTAACGCTGCTATTGCGAACGGGATAAAAGTGAGAAAATTAAAAAACTTTCGCTTTAGATTATCTAAAAGACTAGCTAACCAACACTTTTGCTCATATTCTCCTGATCCTGGTTACAGTAGTATCGAAATATATTGTTCGAAGCAAAATGTGAAATAATAAAACGATTTATATAGATAATAACATCCAAAGTTGTATAAATTTTCTATTCGTCAAAGCCTTAGAAATTATTTTGGTCAAAGGCATCTCCTCAAGATGCTTAGTATTTTTTTCCATTATTCTGATCTAGGACCTCAAAACTATATTCTACTTTCAAACTTTGACTATTCCGGATCACTTTTGTATTTTGTCCTAGTATACGATTCCTTAGAATTTATTCTCTTGCTTTTTATTCATATGTAATCGTTTTTTAGATATTTTCTTGAAGTGACATATATAACAGTATATTGTTGGGAATAATTAGTAAACAACATGTTTGAATAAATTTTATTTATTAAGAAACTTATAAATGTTTTACACTCGCTGTGCTGCATTATAGATATGTTTTGAATAGTCGCGTGCACCTCTGTCTTGACTATGATAGCCATTACTCTTCAAAGCTCCTGTTTCATATTTCCGACTGTCGTCAATGTCTTGTTCATCACTGGATGAAGAACTTTCGATCTGTTCACAAAATTTCAATTTGTTATTTTCCTTATAGAATTATATATTACTTAGATTGTGTAAATAATTACCGACCTTGGTAATCTTAGTGTGATGACGTCGATGTTTGTGGTAGTGTTGCTGATGACGTCTGTAAGATTCACTTCTCTCAGTACTGCTAACGCCAGCGTCATATTCATTTGAACCGGAGTCAGTTTCATGATAATTATTTGCGTCACCTTTTGAACCAAAACTATATAATCTTGATCCATCGTTGCCTCTATTATAGGCTATATTTGGACCATGATTAAGTTCTCCTACGCCTACACCAGCGTCTATTGCTCCGTTTCCAATATCAGCAACAGCATCAATACTATGCCCTAACGCGGATCCAATTCTTGACCCTAATTCGGCTCCCAACCTACCAAGACCGAAGAGCAGTTGAGACTCAACTATGACAGCGAAACCAGCAACAGTCAGGAACTAAAAAATGAAACCATAATGAGGATAAGATTATGGATAATTAAAAAGATTTATCACTCACAATGTACTTCATGATGCGTCCGGACAGTTTTTCTAAGAAGAGTTAAAACAACAAAACGTCTCTCATTAGAATAGTTCGATAAAAACAAATTAACGCTTATATAGTGATAAAAAATAAATAGACATATCCATTAATCGCTGCCAACTAAAATAATTAAGTTATATTTATCTGTGCCAATAGAATGTAATTAGTTTTATAACCTTATATCCCAAATTAAATAATATACGTTTAGGATAATTCGCTGATAGGTATATTTTGATGAAATTATTTTATATTGATTTAGAGTTTTAATTAATTAACGATATGATTATGATATTATTATAATAATACATGATATAATAGTATAGAATGGCATATAGGAAGATTAGGTGAGATAATTAATGATTTACATCAAATTCTTTATTAACAAAAAATTAAAGGAATTCTTTAATATAAAACAATATTATTACAAAAATATGCTCGTCATTGAATCACCGGTATGACGTTATCAGTAATAATAATCACCGTATCCTAAGCCCAGATTGTTGTATCCTAAACCCATATGGTTATATCCGTAGCCCAGACGTGGTATGCCATAGCCATATCTTCTATAGCCAAGCCCCAAACCGAGCCCGCTGCCGATTCCGAGTCTACTACCAATGCCGTATAAGCCTCCGTATAAGCCATACGGCTGGGCATCTAAGTTAGCGACGCATAGTACGAGAGCGAAGAAAACCTAGGGATTTTAATAAAATATATTTAAGAATTCTATATAATATATAAAAATATATTTTTTTAATTCTAAGATTCCTACTTACAATAATCTTCATATTGGAAGCGTTTTACGTTTGGTATAAAATAAAAAAATGATCAATCTTGGTTTATATTCCGTTTTTTATCTCAATAATTAATTGCGTATTAATAGTTTTAAGACTTAATTAGTGATGGAAGAATTTGAAATGTCCTTATTGAATATTTGACGATTAATAAATTCTTAGAATTTAATTTCGTAATAGGTTTCGAAGGGTACGTTTTGTTTTATATATACATAACTAATATTATAAATGCGAAAATAACTCTGTCTGTCTGTCTGTCTGTCTGTCCGTCTGCTACGCTTTCACGCCTAAACCACTGAACTGATTTTAATGAAATTCGGTACAGAGATAGAGTTGACCTTGAGAAAGAACATAGGATAGTTTTTATCCCAGACTTTTGAAAGGTTCTCTTGGAAACGCGATATAACCGAACTCCACGCGGCGAAGCTGCGGGCGGAAAGCTAGTACATATATATATGTATCTTTGTTATGAGGTTCTATAAAATTTAAGCCCATTTCTATGTTTCTATGTTTTAGGGCATTTAAGCTGTTTCAGTAGTAAATGTTATGTACAAGTTTTATATAACTGAATTATATATCGATGGATATGACAGACGTTGTTCTGTCATGTCAAAGATGTCATTTCTACCGGCGAGCTAAATAAGGCTTGTCATACATTTTTAATGCTGACCACGGTTTAATAATGATGAAGCTCTTGATTTGGATGGATACAAGTTATTAATGTAAAATAATTTTACTTTATGTTACAATTGTATGAATTTTGAATACGATGTGGATGTGCCATCTATCTGAACATTTGATAGACGCGTGTCAAACAATATACAGTTAATTCAAACGTGTACAATTAAAATTGTGCAAAAGAAGAAAACTAAAGGCCTATATTCCATTCGACAAACTTCGTGTTTTTTCATAGAGTACTCAAGATAATTCGTCCGCCAAATAAAAACGTTGTTTGACATAATATTGAACGTTTCCAATGCGAATAAGCCATAGCATTAAAAAAAAGTTCATATTAAAAACAGTTCATTGGGCTTAAGTTTCTGTGTAATTTTTTTGTTGTTGTTTTTTTAAAGAAAGAATTTCGTACGAGAAAATATTTCATAAAATGTGAATAATATAATATGTATAATAAACATTTGATCAAATGTGACCAAATAAATAACTACAAAACTATCTGTGTTAGTTTGGCTATGAAATCTCGTGGTAAACTAACAGATATCTGTTGAACTGGAATGTAGAATTAGTATTGTTGACAATAAACAGAGCAGCAACTATTGTTATTTGATTAGTTATATACATGAAGAAATACAAACGTTTCTATGTATATTTTTGTAATGTCATACTCTTTTTTATCACGAAAAGGGATATTTCGAATTCCGTTTTTTAAATACTTTATTCTCTGCTTTTATGCATCGGTCGCGGAGAATGCTGAATAAAATTTGAGGACATTTTTTGTATTCTACCAAATATTTCGTTACGTCATAATAATTAAATATTTTGTGATATATTAAAATGAAATTTGATAGAAACTATTTTATACTGCATTTATAAAATTTTGTGGTTTTTTTATCGTATTCTAAATATAACAGACGATGAAAGATAGAGGTACCTTTGTATATATTGCTATCCCAATAAGATTAGTAGGTAGTGTAATTGTTTAACAAATCGACACATAAAAATATACATATATGTATATAATATTAACATTATCTTCGAAACTTTATAGATTTGATTTTTTTTATACAGGGTGACTGGTGAATTACTATCGATACTTGAGGACGTGATATTTGACGATCATATATGACAAAATAAAAATTAATATAACATAAATATTAATAAACTTCTAAGTAAAGTTAACCAAAAGTTATGTAATTAATTACGCATCGTTGTGAACACCCTACAGATTAGGTATACACTCACACACACATACGCGTGCGGCGGCGTAGTGTTGTATCAGCACGCCGCCGCACGCGTCCACACTTGGAACACTTGGAACGTGTCAATACTTTATTTATTTATACGGAAATTTTGTCAAAAATTAAGTGCCTATTTTTTTTTACATAATTCGAATGAGAATCATGTACTGAGTATTCTCCTTAAATATTGATAGTAATTCACCAGTCACCCTGTATACGAGTAAAATGTTCTACAAAATTACCGATTAAATAGTTCAATTTTCCAGTAGTATCACTGAATTTAATTCAGACGATGCAAGTTTCATATAATTTAAATAACCATATATATGATATTAGCATATCTTTTATGTGTTTTTTAATTTAAAAATGATTTCGTGATCAAAAGGTTCCCTTCCTGGGCGTTAATTACAGTCCCCATGAACTCGGCAGAGAACATCACAAAATGAAGAGAAGTTTTGACGAAATTGCGCTCAAAAATTTTATATTCGTTTTTCTTATATTGCGTTGAGTATTCGTCAAACGAATCTCTATTCTGCTCCTCTGTGTTTAAGTGTATTTTGCTTTGGACTAAATGAATTGAATGTGAGGACGGATTAATAATGGTTTATTTCTGTTTGTTAAATAAAATGGGATGCTTAAACGAAAGTAACGAAGATTTAGGGCACATTAATGTAATTATTGTAGTGATGTAAGTATAATGTGAAACGGATTTCTTTGAGATTATCCGAATTGAATCCCAGTTATATAAATGTTTGTGGTCATGTATGTATCTATGGATGTTTGTTGCTCTTTCACCCCAAAAATGCTCGATGGGTTTTGATGAAACTTTACATTTATGTAATTTAGACATAATAATAAGCCATAGGGTATAATTCATCCTGGTATTACTTGTAGTTAACTCAGGAATTAGCCACGTGACACATACTAAGGATGTCGTTTAACACGCTCTATACATTCCTAACTGAGGGTAGTTTCGAAGTCTAACAGGACAAAGCCACGGGCAAAAACTAGTTTAATATTTTTAATGATCGTTTTCACATATATTCTATAAAAATTCCTGTAATAGTATCTTTTTTTATAATTAATTATTATAGTATTCTTCACCAATAGTTACTCGTAATGATGAAGCCTAAATAAATTGCAGTAATACATTGTAATGCTAGTTTCTTCGGTCATATAATTACTTACCCACACGGACCACAGACGGATAGCCAATCTCAAGTAATTGTTGTGTAAGTCGCAGTAGTATTAAGTAAATGTTGAGAGTTTTCCTCTTAGTCAGTATGACAGCAGAATAGAAACTGGACCACATTTCGCTTCTATTGTGATTACTAAAGCAAATGTAGAAGAAGCTTAAATTACTCGTTTTAAGTAAAATAGAATTCCATCGTATTATAGTTTAAATTATGCATTTTTTATCGAGTTATATTTAGGTTCAACATATATATGTATGTATGTAAAATAAAACTAATATAATCGGATTTACTACGCGTTTTTTATTATTGAAAATGTATATATTATATACATATATGTATCTTCTTATTACTGTCACGACTATGTACAAAGTAAATTGTCTAAGTTTAAAAATCCAATAGCAGAGTAGTTTTGTTGGGAGTCGTTATTAAATCCACTTTGTTTTAAAGTAACTTTGTCACATTTATAAAGGGTTATTTTCTTGAAAGGTTTTATATATGAGAAGAATAAATATTTAATTTATGATAAAAAGAATTATTGTATATAGATTCAAATATATGGTTAGGTTAAAATAGGTTTTTTATGATGGCAATTTCATTGTGACTTGTTAATTTTTTGTTAATAATTTATTATTATTTTTTGTTTCAGGTATGTTAAATTACAAAAAAAGGATACGGGTGAGGTTATCAGTATTTTTTACTCCCAGTTATTGTCCCGTAAGTTGAGACACAATTTGGTTCGTCATAAAGTAAGTCTCATTTTTCAAAACAAATTAAAACTGGCACAAGGAAAGTAAAAATTGTACGTACATTTCTCAAACATCGTATTTGTAAACTAAGTAATATTAAAGTTAAAAGTCCCGAGGTAATTTCTTGAAAAATAAACCCAAGAAGTAATAACAGTAAGTTTCGAGGTTCTATCGAGGTATAGAGAACTAGATACTTGGACCAAAGAAGTTGTGTAGGAATTAGTCAAGCTGCATGGAATGAATCCTTTGCTGATGAAACAGCTTTTAGATGCTATTCTAGACTTTTTTATTATTCAATTAATCAAAATAATATTTATATATATATAATTATTTGAATGGCTGAACGTTCGTTGATTCGAGTTTAAAATTTAATATGGTACAAAATGTTGATATTTTTTATTTTACTTTATGAATATTTCCAATTATAAAGTGATGGTAAAATTGCGATCCATTTATGAGTAACAAGTTGCAATTAAATTTTACTGTAAAAATAAACTGTTCGTTTTTAAAGCGTTGTATTTTCGTAAAAATTTTACGTACGGTACGGTACGTACTTATGTTTATGACGAGCAAAGTCGCGGGCGGAGCATACATTAGCTGAAACCATTAAAACCACATTAAAAGCTATTAATATAATGTAATTAATATTGTTATTTAATGTCATCGATAATGGACGTGTTACCAAATGCCACAAGTTATTATCAATTACACGTTTTATTTTGTTTTGTATCATAATTTAATAGTTATATGTATATTAGTATTACTTTCTCACTATTTCTGTTTCAAATATATAAAACAAGTCTCTCAAATGGTCTGCGTTTCAGAGATTATTGCGAACGAAAGAATGAAAAACAAAATCTTTTTATATATATTTTTTTATAATGTTTTAGTATAAACATTAAATTTTTGGGTTTACTATAACATAATACATAATCATACATATACATATATACAGTACTTTATATAGGGCTTAATGCCCAAACTACCCTCAGAGGAAAGAACATAAATACATATATTATATATTTGTATGTATAATAGATTACATATAGTTCTTAAACATCATAGTATCATAACATAATAGGTATATTTTAGTGTATAGTTCCTTTCTAGAGCATGTCATCTTCAGTCTAGTTACC